CAACACTAAAGCTGAGGTAAATTTGGTCAAAAACAGACCTGCAGATGCCTGTAAAGCCAAACTGGATGTATTTTCCTGCAGCYATACTGCACAGCTACATACATCTGCCGCCACCGCTGCCATCTTCTTTAGCTGATGAGGTATGAGATATTATTATTATTTGGTTTTATTTAGGAGACGTTGCTCTTGGAATAAATCAAGATTTTTAGTTGACATCCTAAAAAAATACAGCTTTTAAGCTAAAACAATCACGAGTGAAAGCAGCACTTTGGAGCTGAAGACGCTTCTTAAAACTCAGCAGGAAAAACACTTCACTTTGAGATAATGAGTATCTTTCCCTCTGAAGGAAAGCACATAATGTGGAAATTGAGTACGAATCCGTAACGCTAACGAGAAAAACACGTTTTGGTTTGTTTTTGGACATCTGCTGATTTGAAAAGAACAGGAAGAGTCACATCATCAATAAAAGCCTTTTATGTCAGCTCCATTCAGTATTTTAGAAAACACAAAGTAAAACCCTTTCAGGATAAAGCGATGCTATACTAACAAGTTTAGACCTGTTCTGAACAATAAAATTTTTAAATCAATTGTTTCATTAAAGCTTAACTCTGGACAAATGAGATAAGGGTGAATAAAACATCAATGAAGGTTGGCCTTGAATGCAAGCAAGATAAAAAAAAAAGGTCAAACTAAATCTGGAGGTAAATTTGTACTGCTCTTCAACATAACTGTGACTACAAAGATTTTAACTGCTTTTTAAGCTTAAAGGCTTTACATCAGCTAAGACTAGTTAAATGTGCACCAGAGAAGTTGACGAAGCTGCCAAGAATGGCAGTTTGTGTCTGATGTTGGTAAAACAAGTTTGGCTTCAATCTCTGCACAGGAGGCTGAAGTGAGGGAAACACCYTGCATCCAAATCCTGCTTGTTGAATGACAGCAGGTCTGTTTCCCATTTCATACATTTAAAACTGGATTTGAGTTTATAAAGGAAGGAAAAAAAACACACTGAACTTCTTCACTAGATTACAAAATGTGAAAAAAAGTCTTCTAATTAAAGCAAAGCTAGTCTTTATAAAAAATAAAATAAACATGTTTGTTTCTCGAAGTTTCGGGTAAAAATCGAGCCCTCCAACAAAACAACCACACTTAAGACCAGAGGTCAGCTGATCAGTCATCAGGATCTCTTACATTCATTCCTGTTACAAAATATATTCTGTGAAATGGGACAAACAAAAAAATTGTAATATTTAACTGATTAAACCTAAAACAAATTCATATCTAAATCTGAATAATACAAATAATCTAAATCTATCTATTTGAAAGAAACCAAATCTTAATCCAAGAATCATTTTCTAAAAATAAGTCAAATCTTGCATAAATGTCATAAATCAATGTTAGCTTTCCTAATATCCCCAACCAATGGTTGGAAAATTATCAAAGGAGGAAAATAAATTAAAAGAGGTGTGAAGGAGATGAATCTCAAARGGGTTATCACCCACACATCTCAAAACCATTCAAGACGAGACAAATCACAGACATCCAAGAGAAACGTCTGAGAGAGGAAGTGAGACGGGTGACAGTGAGGTGAAAGTCTGAGCTGAACAACTTCCGCTCAAAAGATAATGACACCCACACAAACCACAACACAGAGGTGCAAAAAAAAAAAAAAAAACCCAGAAAACACTCAATTTTTGGTACAAGCAGAACTGAGAATCTGAAGAAGTGGACAAAATAAAAACCATTACACTCTGAATGGACGGCGCTGCGTAAAATGAGCCTCTATCTTTAATTTACAACCTATTTTTTTTGTTTGTTTTCATGCAGATTAACTTGTTCCAACTGAGCCATGGTGGAACAGTCTGGTGGATGAAGCCCCCTCCCTGACCCAGTTACTAAGCTGTCATCCTGCAGGGGGAACAAAAAAGTAGCAGCTGTCTGTCAATAGCCTGAACAGGACCGACACAAYTAATACAGCAGACAGAAAACACGTGCTTGTACCCAACATGAGCCAGGGCGCCACAAAGAAAAAAAAAAAAGACAGCACCCGCTTTGATTTTTCACATGTTCACTGAATGTTCTGATCACACGTATGATGCCCTTCACCTACTTATCTGTACTTACACACAGGAACAGCATTACTTAGAAAACCATGACTGGTTTGTTGTGAAACTGATAAATGAGTAGCACAGCTTTGTGCACCACAATGTCTGAACTGGGAATAGCTAGTAATGGTACATTGTGCAAGTACAGACAAAATTTACAATAAATAAATAAATAAATAAAACAAATGGTCCAAAACACCCACCTACCCAAAAAGACATAAAAACAATGACAATGGGATTTTGATGAAGGAGATGAGAACACACAACCCTCTTTGGGGCTCTCCAGCTCAGACARACATCACTGTAGAAACATCATTCAAAGTTTAAACGGGCCACAGAAAGTTGTACTGTACAAGACCCGACTGGAACTTTGATATCTTTTATGGTTTCTACATAAACACAGTATGATTTTCATCGATTTTCCCATGATTTGTTCAACTAACAATTGAAGGTAAATGGTAAATGGTACTGAACTTATATCCCTCAGGACCCCCAAAGCGCTTTACACTAACAGACATTCACCCATTAACACTCACATTCACACACGATGATGGCAAACTACACTGTAGCCACAGCTGCCCTGGGGCACACTGACAGAGGTGGGGCTGCCAT